GAAGCCTCTAAGAGGGCTGATGGTGGAGTCGCTAGCAGGGATGATGATGGAGTCTCTAGCAGGGCTGATGGTGGAGTCTCTAGCAGGGATGATGGTGGAGTCTCTAGCAGGGCTGATGGTGGAGTCTCTAGCAGGGCTGATGGTGGAGTCTCTAACAGGGCTGATGGTGGAGCCTCTAACAGGGCTGATGGTGAAGCCTCTAACAGGGCTGATGGTGGAGTCTCTAGCAGGGATGATTGTGGAGACTCTAACAGGGCTGATGGTGGAGTCTCTAAGAGGGCTGATGGTGGAGTCGCTAGCAGGGATGATGGTGGAGTCTCTAGCAGGGCTGATGGTGGAGTCTCTAGCAGGGATGATGGTGGAGTCTCTAGCAGGGTTGATGGTGGAGTCTCTAGCAGGGCCGATGGTGGAGTCTCTAACAGGGCTGATGGTGGAGTCTCTAACAGGGCTGATGGTGGAGTCTCTAGCAGGGCTGATGGTGGAGCCTCTAACAGGGCTGATGGTGGAGTCTCTAACAGGGATGATGGTGGAGTCTCTAACAAGGCTGATGGTGGAGTCTCTAACAGGGCTGATGGTGGAGTCTCTAACAAGGCTGATGGTGGAGCCTCTAACAGGGCTGATGGTGGAGTCTCTAACAGGGCTGATGGTGGAGTCTCTAACAGGGTTGATGGTGGAGTCTCTAGCAGGGCTGATGGTGGAGTCTCTAGCAGGGCTGATGGTGGAGTCTCTAGCAGGGCTGATGGTGGAGTCTCTAACAGGAATGATGGTGGAGTCTCTAGCAGGGCTGATGGTGGAGTCTCTAACAGGGCTGATGGTGGTGTCTCTAACAGGGGGGATGGTGGAGTCTCTAACAGGGGTGATGGTGGAGTCTCTAGCAGGGCTGATGGTCGAGTCTCTAGCAGGGCTGATGGTGGAGTCTCTAGCAGGGCTGATGGTGGAGTCTCTAACAGGGCTGATGGTGGAGTCTCTAACAGGGGTGATGGTGGAGTCTCTAACAGGGGTGATGGTGGAGTCTCTAGCAAGGCTGATGGTGGAGTCTCTAGCAGGGCTGATGGTGGAGTCTCTATCAGGGCTGATGGTGAAGCCTCTAACAGGGCTAATGGTGAAGTCTCTAACAGGGCTGATGGTGAAGCCTCTAACAGGGCTGATGGTGGAGTCTCTAGCAGGGATGATGGTGGAGACTCAACAGGGCTGATGGTGGAGTCTCTAAGAGGGCTGATGGTGGAGTCGCTAGCAGGGATGATGGTGGAGTCTCTAGCAGGGCTGATGGCGGAGTCTCTAGCAGGGATGATGGTGGAGTCTCTAGCAGGGCTGATGGTGGAGTCTCTAGCAGGGCTGATGGTGGAGTCTCTAACAGGGCTGATGGTGGAGTCTCTAACAGGGCTGATGGTGGAGTCACTAACAGGGCTGATGGTGGAGTCTCTAGCAGGGCTGATGGTGGAGTCTCTAACAGGGCTGATGGTGGAGTCTCTAACAGGGCTGATGGTGGAGCCTCTAACAGGGCTGATGGTGGAGTCTCTAACAGGGCTGATGGTGGAGTCTCTAACAGGGCTGATGGTGGAGTCTCTAGCAGGGCTGATGGTGGAGCCTCTAACAGGGCTGATGGTGGAGTCTCTAACAGGGATGATGGTGGAGTCTCTAACAAGGCTGATGGTGGAGTCTCTAACAGGGCTGATGGTGGAGTCTCTAACAAGGCTGATGGTGGAGCCTCTAACAGGGCTGATGGTGGAGTCTCTAACAGGGCTGATGGTGGAGTCTCTAACAGGGTTGATGGTGGAGTCTCTAGCAGGGCTGATGGTGGAGTCTCTAGCAGGGCTGATGGTGGAGTCTCTAACAGGGGTGATGGTGGAGTCTCTAGCAGGGCTGATGGTGGAGTCTCTAGCAGGGCTGATGGTGGAGTCTCTATCAGGGCTGATGGTGAAGCCTCTAACAGGGCTAATGGTGAAGCCTCTAACAGGGCTGATGGTGAAGCCTCTAACAGGGCTGATGGTGGAGTCTCTAGCAGGGATGATGGTGGAGACTCAACAGGGCTGATGGTGGAGTCTCTAAGAGAGCTGATGGTGGAGTCGCTAGCAGGGATGATGGTGGAGTCTCTAGCAGGGCTGATGGCGGAGTCTCTAACAGGGCTGATGGTGGAGTCTCTAACAGGGATGATGGTGGAGCCTCTAACAGGGCTGATGGTGGAGTCTCTAGCAGGGATGATGGTGAAGCCTCTAACAGGGCTGATGGTGGAGTCTCTAGCAGGGATGATGGTGGAGTCTCTAACAGGGCTCATCATCACCACCGCCATCATCACCACCCATCCACCATCACCACCATCATCACCACCATCACCACCCATCCACCATCATCATCACCACCACCACAACGGGAACTCCCCCATCCCCCCGCTTCCTCATTCCTTCGCGGGTTTCATTCTCACCTCACAGTTCCTTCCTCATTCATTCCTCACCTTCGTGGGGTGGCCCACAAATCAGGACACAAAGGGGCTGTTGTTATAGGGGTTGTTATAGGGGTTGTTATAGGGGTTGTTATTGTTGTAGAGGGTGGCCCACAAGTCAGGACACGTAGGCGTTGTTGTTGTTATAGGGGTTGTTATAGGGGTTGTTATAGGGGTTGTTATTGTTGTAGAGGGTGGCCCACAAGTCAGGACACGTAGGCGTTGTTGTTGTTATAGGGGTTGTTATAGGGGTTGTTATAGGGGTTGTTATTGTTGTAGAGGGTGGCCCACAAGTCAGGACACATAGGCGTTGTTGTTATAGGGGTTGTTATAGGGGTTGTTATTGTTGTAGAGGGTGGCCCACAAGTCAGGACACATAGGCGTTGTTGATGTTATTATAGAGGTTGTTGTTGCTATAGGGGTTGTTGTTGTTATAGAGGGTGGCCCACAAGTCAGGACACAAAGGGGCTGTTGTTGTTATAGAGGTTGTTGTTGTTATAGAGGTTGTTGTTATAGGGGTTGTTGTTGTTATAGGGGTTGTTGTTGTTTTGAGGTTGTTGCTATAGGGGTTGTTCTTGTTGTTATAGAGGGTGGCCCACAAGTCAGGACACAGGCGTTGTTATTATAGAGGGTGGCCCAAACCCACGACCTCCTGCATACCAACCAAGGTAGTTAACATCTCCCTAGCCACCGTGACGATGATCAGAGAGAGAGAGAGAGACGCAGACTCCAAATAAACAGCAGCAGCAGGCATCGTCATGCGCAACGGGATCGAAACCACGACCTCCTGCGTACCAGGAGAGGTAGTCAACATCTCCTAGGCACTGACATAGTGGTGTCGACAGGAGGCCCTGTGCTGATTCACTCAAGGAGGTTCCTGGGCCTAGCACCTCCTAGGTCGACTCGTCCTCAAATGAGTGCCTTGTTGAGGTGTACAAAAAAAAAACAAAGATCCCCCATATAGCCTTAACAGACTGTAGGGGCAAGTGCTGTTAGCGAGCACCTATGAAGGCCGGAACGGTACACGAGGGGGTGGGTGGCCAGCACCACGCCCGACCGCCTTTGTCTCCCCAGTGGCGATGTTTACACACCGCACCAGGTACTAATTTGAGGCTGAGTCGACCTAGGGGAGGCCCGGGACCGGTTCAGATAATCGTCACTGGTGTTGGCCGTGAGCGGGAATCGAACCCGGGTCGCCGGGTTCATAGCGCAGCGGAGCGCTAACCGCTACACTACCGCTCCCCATGTGTGTACAACAACAACCGCAATTCGCCACTAAGTGGCGGTGACGTCATCACGACGCTTGTGCCAGGCCATGTGCACCTTGAGGCCACGTGAAGTGTCGAACGCCCGCTGGCAGGTGGTCACGGGGCAGACCCAGGTGCCACGGGTCGACTGACTGAGATGAGTGGCTGATGCACCACCTGTGCCCCCTACTGTGCCAACCTGCTGTGCTTTAGCCACCCGGCGCTCCGCTCGTTGTTGTGAGCGTCGCTCCTCCGCCCTCCGTTGTTGTTGGAGGGCGACTGCCTCCAACTGCCCAGTAGCATCCTTCACGAGCCTCTACCACAGAGGCCGATCTTGACACCGCTGGTACCAGTCATCGGCAAGTCCACTCAGCTCCACGTCCTCCTGTACCACATCACTCCATCTCTTCTCTAGCCCGTGCCGCGCCCGCTTAGCCCCCTCGATCCGGCCGAACAAAAGCTGTTTCGGCATGCGGTGGCTGGGCATGCGGACTACATGACCCAGCCATCGCAGCCTTGCCTGCCGGAGGAGCTCACCGATGGGACCTTGCCCAGATCTTTCAAGGATTTGTGAGCTCCTCACACAATCCCCAAGGTGAACAGGGAATGACTCACTCACTCCATCACTCCCCCCCTACTCTCTCCCCCCCCCACTCTCTCCCCCCCCCTACTCTCCCCCCCCCACTCTCTCCCCCCCCCACTCTCTCCCCCCCCCCACTCTCTCCCCCCCCCACTCTCTCCCCCCCACTCTCTCCCCACTCTCTCCCCACCCCACTCTCTCCCCACTCTTCCCCTCCCCCCGCACTCTTCCCCTCCCCCCCACTCTTCCCCCCACTCTCCCCCCACTCTTCCCCTCCCCCCCACTCTTCCCCTCCCCCCCCCCACTCTTCCCCTCCCCCCCCCACTCTTCCCCCACTCTTCCCCTCCCCCCCCACTCTTCCCCTCCCCCCCCACTCTTCCCCTCCCCCCCCCACTCTTCCCCTCCCCCCCACTCTTCCCCTCCCCCCCCACTCTTCCCCTCCCCCCCCCACTCTTCCCCTCCCCCCCCCACTCTTCCCCTCCCCCCCCACTCTTCCCCTCCCCCCCCCACTCTTCCCCCACTCTTCCCCTCCCCCCCCCACTCTTCCCCTCCCCCCACTCTTCCCCTCCCCCCCCCACTCTTCCCCTCCCCCCCCACTCTTCCCCTCCCCCCCCCACTCTTCCCCTCCCCCCCCACTCTTCCCCTCCCCCCCCACTCTTCCCCTCCCCCCCCCACTCTTCCCCTCCCCCCCCACTCTTCCCCGTGTGTGCGTGCCGTTCTCTGCCTCTCTCACCAGGCAGCGAGACGCACAGCAGCAGCAGCACGGGCAGCAGCAGCAGGATCCTGGCCATGGTTGAGAGACGTGGAGACAGAGACGTGGAGAGAGACAGAGACGTGGAGACAGAGACGTGGAGAGAGACAGAGACTAGAGAGACGTGGAGACAGAGACGTGGAGAGAGAGAGACAGAGACTAGAGAGACGTGGGGAGAGACGTGGGGAGAGACGCTGAGAGAGAGACAGAGACTAGAGAGACGTGGAGACAGAGACGTGGGGAGAGACGCTGAGAGAGAGAGAGACAGAGACTAGAGAGACGTGGGGAGAGACGTGGAGAGACGCTGAGAGAGAGACAGAGACTAGAGAGACGTGGGGAGAGACAGAGACTAGAGAGACGTGGGGAGAGACGTGGAGACAGAGACGTGGAGAGAGACAGAGACTAGAGAGACGTGGGGAGAGACGCTGAGAGACAGAGACTAGAGAGACGCTGAGAGAGACCTGAGAGAGAGAGAGGCGTAGAGACTTGAGAGAGAGAGACGGAGAGAGACGCTGAGAGGTTGACGTAGAGACTTGAGAGAGAGAGACTTGAGAGAGAGAGACGGAGAGAGACGCTGAGGTTGACGTAGAGACTTGAGAGAGACGGAGGGAGCGGGAGCTCTAAGGTGGACGAGCGCACTGCGCGTTGTTTTTGTTGTTCGCAGTGAGCGGTGACGTCACCACCGCGGAGAAAGTGGAGGGGGAGAGTCGGTGACGTCATATACGCACTGCGCAGTAATGCCATGACGTCACCACCATCGATGAAGGGAGGGTTGCGCGATGACGTCAACAGCGCCGACCCTGCAGCCATACAATGACGTCACCACCATGGATGAAGGGAGAGGGTTGAGCGATGACGTCATAGGCGCCGACAACGCAACGGGGTTATGACGTCACGACTTCGAACCTTCGAGACGAAGCGGTGAGAATACGTGGTGACGTCACCGCGCCAGAAGGGGGTGGGGATCGCGAGCGCGCGCGATGACGTCACTGCATGACGACGTCATCGGGCACGTGTTTCCCCCAGCGTGGTGACGTCACCGCGCAGGCTTATCCCCCTCCCCCCCGGTGTGGTGACGTCACCGCGCACGCTTATCCCCCTCCCCCCAGTGTGGCGACGTCACCGCGCACGCGTCTCCCCCTCGCACATCCGTCGTATGACGTCACCGCGTTGGAAACGCAGCTTGGTTGTTTTGCTTGTGACTGGGACGTTTTCTTTGGTTCTTTCGGTAATTAAGACACGTAGATAGACGAATCATAAAGTGAATAAAAATTAAGTGAATAAAAAAGTGAATAAAAATAAAGTGAAAAAATAAAGGGAAAAAATAAATTGAATCAAAATTAAATGAATAAAAATAAAGTTAATAAAAAAGCAAATAAAAGTAAAGTGAATAAAAAGAAAGTGAATAAAAATAATGTGAATAAAAATAAAATGAATAAAAATAAGGTGACTAAAAAAAATGTGGATGAAAATAAAGTGTATAAAAATAAGTTGAACTATTGTCATTGTAGTGCGTATTTAATGTAGCGCTGCACTCTGATGTTGTAGGAGAAAACATTTATTAAAAAGTCTATTTAATTAAGTAGAACGTGTTGTCTATATTTATTTAAAGTTGCACATTTTGATGTGACGTCACATTTCTCAACCCCCCCCCTCTCGTCACACATCGTCACAAATGTCTGACCACCCCCCCCCCCCCCCCCCAGGTGCGTGACGTAATTTATGGACGGCCCCTTATTCTACACTACCATACACTACACTACTATACACTACACTATACACTACCATACACTACACTAAACACTACACTACCATACACTACACTACTATACACTACACTGTACACTACACTACCATACACTACACTATACACTACACTACCATACACTACACTATACACTACACTACTATACACTACACTACTATACACTACACTATACACTACACTACTATACACTACACTACTATACACTACACTATACACTACACGACTATACACTACACTATACCCTACTATACACTACACTACTATACACTACACTACCATACACTACACTACTATACACTACACTACCATACACTACACTACTATACACTACACTATACACAACACTACCATACACTACACTACTATACACTACACTGTACACTACACTACCATACACTACACTATACACTACACTACATACACTACACTATACACTACACTACTATACACTACACTACCATACACTACACTATACACTACACTACCACTACTATACACTACACTACCATACACTACACTACTATACACTACACTACCATACACTACACTACTATACACTACACTATACACAACACTACCATACACTACACTACTATACACTACACTGTACACTACACTACCATACACTACACTATACACTACACTACATACACTACACTATACACTACACTACTATACACTACACTACCATACACTACACTATACACTACACTACCATACACTACACTACTATACACTACACTATACACTACACTACCATACACTACAGTATACACTACACTACCATACACTACACTATACACTACACTACTATATACTATACACTACACTACTATACACTACACTACACTACTATATACTACACTACTATACACTACACTACTATACACTACACTACTATACACTACACTATACACTACACTATACACTACACTGCTATACACTACACTATACACTACACCACTATACACTACACTATACTACACTACACTATACACTACACACTATAAACTACACTGTACACTACACACTATAAACTACACTATACACTACACACTATAATATACTATTTACTATTATACACTACTCTACACTACACTACTATACACTACACTACTATACACTACACTACGATATACTACACTACTATACACTACACTATACACTACATACTATACAGTACACTACTATACACTACACTACTATACACTACACTACTATACACTACACTATGTACTACACTACTATACACTACACTACTACACACTACATTATACACTACTGTTTTATATTTTGGTTATGAAAATATGATGAAAATAATAAAAATTAAATGAAATTTGGAAAAAGGCGAAACTATCCGCATAAATTATGCTAATTTGGGAGATAATCATATTAATTTATGCGAGTGTGTTCGATTGTGCTAATGTGAGCCGTTATGATAATTCGGCCCTGCCTCGCTGACAAGGGTATCATCAATCGGGATAATACAATTGATCGTATGAAGTTATGCAGGTGTGATGTAAGTACGCCAGATTAAACTCGGCTTCGTTGCCTAGGTTCGTATTATCGATCGGTCTAATACTCTTATTCTCGCTTTAACATTTAATGATTATGTATTCGTGTTTTATGTCAGGTCTCCAAATTTAAATCTCAACGCAGAATACGGTCCTTATAAGTAAGATTATTATGCATGAACTCAGGAAAGAAACACGCAACCACTTCTGTGTTCAGCAACTTCATTCTAAACGAAACCTTAACTCTGTACTATGTGAACTCTCAGACTTGGAATTATCAACACAGTATCATCGGGGAATTCCCTCAGGTCGCAGCACATTTAACCATCAAGGATTGCGTTGTTTCACTTTGACCACTGCACATGTGATTAATTCTACCGTGAACACGAGCTTAATAATAGGGTTTTTCCCCTTTTTTCCAGCAAAAAAAACCTGAAACCTTTTAACAAGGATTCATGTCTGCATTAACCACAATACCTGCAGTCAAAATTCAAACAAAACAAACACTATGATAATATATGCATTGTCCTTGAAACTGACTGGTCCACACCAAGGGACGGCTTTCTTTTGAGCCTCGACCCAATCGGTACTCGACCAGATAACGCCATATTTTTTTTTGTTTTCTGAAATCCTGCGTCCTTTTACTGGAAAAACCACCTCTGCGGTACAAAATTCTATTCACCTGGTATCGACAATCAAGGGTATTTCCCTGTCCCCAGACGACCTGCTTGTCAGTTCTGATGTAGTTTCCTTATTCACCAAAGTTCCTGTACCTGACACCATCGCAATCATTGAAGACTTGGTTCATCAAGGACTAAACACTGAGGTACCCCCCTGGTGAGACACTGCTTAACCAATACATACTTCACTTGGAATGGAACTTACTACAAACAAACTGAGGGCACCCCAATGGGCTCCCCCCTATCTCCGGTTATAGCTAACATTTTCATGGAGAAATTTGTAACTGACGCCATCCAGACTGCCACTCTGCGCCCAACATTATGGAAGAGGTACGTGGATGACACTTTTGTCATCTGGCCACATGGCTGGCTTGCTCTAAACCAATTCTTCGACCACATCAATTCCATACACCCAGCCATTAGATTTACCATGGAAGTCGAAAAAGATGGCAAACTACCTTTTTTGGATGTCCTAATAAAAAAGAGACCTGATGGTTCAATGAGCCACTCTGTCTACAGGAAAGCTACCCATACGGATGCTTATCTGAAACCGGATTCCCACCACCTTCCATCACAGAAGAATTATCTCATCAAGACTCTGTACCATAGAGCCCAATGCACATCCGACCAGGAACACATAGGCAGTGAACTCAAGCACGTACACCAAGCTCTTAAGGTTAATGGTTACTCCGACTATACAATCCGCAAAGCTATCACTCAAACCATGAAGAAGGACCCTGTTTAGGAGCCTTTCAAAACCATCACTTTACCCTACATTGCGGGGATCACAAAAAAGATCTCCAAAATCTTGAATAAACACAAGATCCAGGTCCGTTTCAAGACATTACATAAAATCCGTGATCTGGTTCCATCTGTAAAAGATGTGATTCCGGACATACAGCACCCTGGTGTCTACAAACTAAGTTGCCTCTGTGGTAGTACTTACATTGGAGAAACCAAACGCCATGTCTCGGACCGCATTCGTGAACACAAAGCAGACCTTAAACACGGTAGGACCAACACCTCGGCCGTGGCAGATCATTATTATTATTCAGTAGGCTCACATGACATTCACTTC